TGATTGTTTACGCGTGAAGTGTTGGAAAATACGGCATCAAGTGTGTAACGGAATTTTAAAAAATTTAAATCATTGCCAAAGCCAACCAAGAACATGTTCATGATGTTATATAACATAAATACTAAATATCGAAATCATACCTTTAGAGATTTAGGAAACAACACTGTTGACAAATCAAAGCGTTCCAAACAACAACCGGAAGAGCCTCAACCAACTAGCCTTCTTTTGCTATTCTCGTTTCCATTATCGGAGTGCGGGAGGGCACACATCGTTCAATCTCCCCTTGTTATTCTTCAACTCCTTCCAAGCATAAGAGTGCTAAAGGAAAAATAATTCTTGAGAATTAAACAATTTTTCCTCTCAAGAATCTTTTGACAAGAGCCCCCAAAAAGTCTCTCAAGTAGTCTAATGAATAATATGACTTACTAGGTTATTTCTACTATTTAGAAAGTCATATACCCGTAACAATTAGGTTTCCTAAAATTTATCTCGCTTACAGAGTCAGTTTCACCACGTCAACACGCGTTACGCGTTACAACCGGTCGATCGGGGACAGAGATGATATAACTCACCAGTCGACCTGTCCTTCATAAACCGGTCGACCTGTCTGAACACGAGATAATTGTTTTCCTAGTTTTTTCAATGTGGAAAACTTGCACAAAGCCTCAGTTTTAATTCAAGCAACCCAATAGGGAAGTTACCTGATCAAAATAATCATATAATAGTCTTCCCATATGAAATAACTCTTAAAACAATAATTCAACCAATTTATCTAGAATTAATTTAACAATTAGTCCACCCGATAAATTACTCATGAATTAAACAATATGAAACATTAATTCAATAAATTTATCTAGAATTAATTTATCAATTAATTCATCTGATAAATTACTCATAAATTAAACAACCCGAAACATTAATCCAACCAATTTATCTAGAATTAATTTATTAATTAATTAACCAATCTCATATTAATTTTGAACCTCTTTTACGAAAATAACACAAGTTATCAATATATAGGAAATACACCGTACCGTTATAGGAAATTACGCGAGCTATCAAGGAGACCCGATGGACATATATAAATCAAGCTCCCATAATCACAACACTACTTGTAAACCAACAAGTCTGTCTCATGATTAAAAACTCTAGCGCTACTCCACTAAAAGTCTAGAGTTGCACTCTCGATTTATATAGCACATTTACAAAGCTCTGAATAGCTCTCGTCCATGACTCAATATATTAATGTGTCATCCCCATAGGATATCCATAATTAACTTAAGGTCAAGTTCCATTTTACCTTCCCGATTATATTTATCATATGTTTCATTACCACTCCACCAGAAAATCACTATTTGTACCATTTCAAAAAGTAAACCATTAGATAACCCAAAGTAGTCTGATGGTCGAGTGCTCATATTTTTCAATCCACGGATAACGTATAAGAGGATATCAGTGATTCTTTATAGGAGCTATGATTTCCACTATCTATGAATAACGAATCTACACATACACGAGTCATACCCCCAATGTACCAGTAAGCGTACCTTTACATAATGTTAGGATGTCTCCCTTTGGTACATCAAAGGATACAAGTCAAGCATGCGGGTTCATTATCCATCTCAGGATTAAGATGACCACATATAACTCGTCAAAAGTGAATTATTTTATACAAACGTAATTATTAATTAAAACAATTGACCTTTTGTCCGACCCAATATAGATTTCACCACTAGAAACTATATCAATGTCTCTACCCATGGAGTCCCACCTCCGACGACCAAGACAAGTTGTCTCCGTTAGGAAGTAGACAACATAACAATCTTAACATGAATAAAGTGCCCAACATTATTCCCTTGATTGTGGATCATATGATTTAGACTATCATATTTAGATTCTTGTATTCCGCATGTTCTTCTCATTACATGCATGCCCAAAAGATTTAGAATGACAATCTCAGACTTTCAGTTTGCTTATCATACATTCAACTAATATGAACATAAAGACGACAGTGTATGGATATATGAAATAAATAAATATTTATTAATAGTCATAATGTCTCAAAGAACATTGTTACGTTTATTCCTAAAGGCATAAACGCTAACAATCTCTCACATGCACTTAAGTGAGTAAATGTGACATGCTACATATCCCCATAACCTCGACATGTTTCTCAAAGGCCTTAGCCGGCAGGGCCTTCGTGAACGGGTCATCCCTATTGTCCTCCGATGTGATCTTGCATATTTTCACATGTCGTTCTTCAATAAAGCTCCTTATCACATGATACTTTTTGTCTATGTGCTGACTCATTTTCTAATATCTTAATTCTGTGGTGTTAGCTATTGCCACACTGTTATCACAATACAGTCTTAATGGCTTATCCATACCGGGAACTGGCTTATCCACACCGGGAACTACTTCAAGATCCATTAGAAATTTACGAAGCCACAGCGCTTCTTTCGAAGCATCACTAGATGCCACATACTCGGCTCCCATTGTTGAGTCAGCAGTGCAAGTTTGCTTGACACTCCTCCAAACGACAAAACCACCTCCCAGAGTAAGGATAGAACCCGAAGTCGATTTTGTAGAATCCAAATAGGATTGAATATCCGAGTCTGTATATCCTGGAGGTGTTAGATCCTCCCCGGAATATACTAGCATATAATTCCTAGTCCTCTGAATATACTTGAATATATGCTTGACCGCTACCCAATGGTTAGGTTCTGGATTCGACTGATATCACCTTACGATCCTGACCGGAGTAAATATTCAGTCGTATGCAAAGCATTGCGTACATGAGGGTCCTAACCGCCGAAGCATAAGGTACATTTGCCATGTATTCTCTTTCCTCAGATGTCTTGGGACAATCACTATTCGAAAGAGTAATTCCAGACCTAGATGGTTGCCCACCATTCTTGAAATTCTGCATTGCATACTTCTTGAGAATTTTATCTATGTATGAAGCCTGGGAGAGAGCTATCATTTTGTTCTTTCAATCTCTAAAGATCCGAATGCCCATAACATAATTAGCTTCTCCTAAGTCCCGACATCCTGCGAGATACTTTCCTCAAGATGGATGTTCAAGAACGCCATCTTGACATCCATTTGCCAGATCTCGTAGTCGAGAGCAGCCGCAATAGATAAGAGAATGCATATGGACTTAAGCATGGCTACAGGCAAAAAGGTTTCCTCATAGTTGATACCCTCCATTTGCGAGTATCGCTTAGCTACTAGTCTAGCCTTATAGGTTTTGACCTTTCCATCTGCATTTCTTTTTCTCTGGTAGACCCATTTACACCTAATGGGCTTAATCCCAACAGGAAGATCTATAAGTTCCCAGACTTGGTTAAAATCCATAGATTCCATCTCAACTTTCATGGCTCCTGTCCAGAATTTCACATGAACATCCTCTATAGCTTCTTTGTAAGTATAAGGATCCATGTCATGTTCCAAAGATTCTACCAAAAAGGTTTCCCCATTAGCCATGAATCTCTCAAGTTCATCCCTGCTCCTCCCACTATGCTGAAGCCCCTTAGGTTGTTGTTGGGTTTCCTTTTCTACCCTGATTCGATCTGTTTCTTAAGGAACTGTCGGTATAACCAAATCACACGACATTTCCTCAAGCGCCACTTTGCTATGAGGCTTAAAGTCGTTCATATAACTTTCCTCAAGAAATGTTGCATTCGTTGAAACCACGACTTTCTTTTCCTTAGGGTTATAGAAATAACCCCCTTTCGTCCTTCTCGGATAACCTACAAAAATGTACACTTATGAACGTGCTTTCAACTTGTTTGCTTCCTTGTCCAAGACATGTGCATGACATCCCCATATACATATATGGTTCAAGGATGTCTTCCTGCCCGTCCACAACTCATGAGGAGTTTTAGGAACTAACTTTGTTGACACGTTATTCAGAAGATAACATGTAGTTTGTCAAGCATATCCCCAGAAAATTATAGGCAATGTCGAATAACTTATCATGGATCATACCATATCCAACGAGATCCTATTTCTTCTCTTAGCTACACCATTCTGCTGTGAAGTGCCTGGTGCAGTCAAATGGGATAAAATCCCATTCTCTAATAAGTATCCAGTGAACTCATCAGAGAGGTATTGTCCACCTCGATTGGATTGAAGTGTCTTTATGGGTTTACCTAATTACTTTTCTACTTCAGCCCGAAACTCCCTGAATTTATCAAAAGCTTCACTTTTGTGGTGCATCAGGTACACATAACCATATCTTGAGTAATCGTCAATAAAAGTGACGTAATACTCATACCCTATTCTCGCCTTGATGTTCATGGGACCACAAACATCACTATGCGTAAGTTCAAGAACCTCTTCAGCTCTATTGCCCTTAGACCCAAATGGTCTTTTGGTCATTTTGCCCTCCAAACAAGACTCACATTGGGATAATGACCCAACCTTTAAAGAACTTAAAGGCTTATCCCTTAACAATCTCTATATCCTATTAAGGCTAATGTGACCAAGTCGCAAGTGCCAAAGATATGTCTCATTAGAGTGAGAAGTTTTTAGCCTTTTAGAGTTATTAACAACTTCAATGTTCAACAGTGAGTCCATCTTTGGTTTGATAAAATATAGATTTCTTTTCCTCCATCCATCACAGATACAAGACTTGTTTTTATGAATCACAACTTTATTATTAAAAGAAACTGAATAAGAATCCTTAAATAAACAAGCGACATAAATAAGATTCCTCTTAAATTGAGGAACATAAAAAGAGTCTAAGAAAAATAAACTCCTATAACTATCAAAGTAAAGATAGACGTCTCCCACTGCTTCAGCCAACACAAGAGTTTCATCGCCTATCCTCAACGTGAAGCTCTCATTTAGAAGACTTCTCATTTTCTTGAACCCCTACAGAGAAACACACACATGATTAGTTGCTCCAGAATCTATGACCCAGTTGTCACTGCATTCCTCAACTAGACATACTTCCACAATCAAAAGATCACACTTACCTCTTTTGCCTTTAGAGGCTAGGTAGTCCTTGCAATTTTCTTCATGTACCCCACTTTCCCACAATGAAAGCATTTGAGCTTGTTCGGGTTCTTCTTCTTCTTCTTGTTCTTGTCCTTGTTTGGCGGAACTGAAGAACTCTCTTTCTTGGCTCCTTGCTTCTTCTTTCCATTCCCTATAGAGGGTTTGGAGGAAGATGCCTCAGCCAAGTTGGTCTCCATAATAGTTGATCCCTTGATCATCTGCTCAAACTTTTGAAATTCTTGCATCAACTCTGTCAAGGCTATATTCTATTTAGCGCTCAAATTAAACGTTACCCTAAATGGAATATACTCCTTCAAAAAAGTCTCAAAGATCATGGTCAATTGAGACTCAGCATCGATGTCAGCCCTATTGGTCTGAGCATCAGCCAAATAGCTTATCACCTTCAACATATATTCCTTTATGGAAGACCCTGCCTTCTGTCTACAATTGATGAGGTTACTCAGGGCTTCCCGACGTTTTTTAGCGGCTTGACTACTGAACATGTCCTCAAGATTATCCATAATCTGACGAGTAGTTGTGTAATCTTCATGTTGCGCTTGAAGCATAGCAGACATGCTTGCCATCATGTAACAGTGAGCCATATCGTCATAGTCCTTCCATCGTTGATACGCTAGAGAAACCTCATTAGGAGCATCAACAGGTGGTTCAGGAGGACAAAGGGTGTTTAGTACGAAATTCAATTTCTCAAAGGTTATGATGATCTTTAGGTTCCTTTTCCAATCGGTAAAATTCTTGCCAGTTAAAGTGTGTTTGTTAAGTATTGATGATAATGCGCTAGCAGACATTTTAATCTACAATAAATATTCATATATCTAATATAAACAAACTTGCATAAATATTTAGTAATTAAACATATATACATATTATAATGCAACCAATATGTTTGTGTGTCAAAACCTTGAAAAAAATCACAACCTTACAAGGATAATTCCCAACACAAAATTTTGTAAGCCTCCTAGAGGAGAGATCATGCAAAGTTTAGTTAGAAACACGGATCCCCTCGATCAATATATACCATCCGGATCTAGCTTTGTCCAGTACATATTGATAATCATTTTCTTTGCCCATTAATTTAATTAACAGAGCTACTACGGAAAATTGATAATTAAATTAATCTTGAGTGTATAACCATCGTTTCAACTATTTGATCCATATTTTATAATTGTCACCTAGGGTGTACAACCATAAAATATGTTAAAATAAATTATCCTCTCAAAGATCCACACTGGTACCTAATGAATCCCTTCCTAGTGATCGGTATCACTATGTGTTACATGCAGACCAACGATGGGAGCCATGGGTCTTTTCTTCAAAAACCCTCACCTACTCAATTTTTTAAAAAACAAGGTTTTATGTTAAAAATATGCATGAACAATTTTAATGAGCGGCACTCCATATTCTACATGACATGTTATCACATATATAGCAAATCATATTATATGCAATCATACAAAGCAATTAAGCTAAGCAACAAGCATAATAATAATAAGCGTAATATTATGGTTCCATCCTAGAGAAAAGAAAAAATAAAGATTTCAAAGAATAATAGAAACATATATCGATCATTCATCTTGAATCTTTCTGGTTGTCCTTGAATTCTTCATCACGAACAAATTTTTGGCTATCATAAAATTATTTTTCATGTTTTGTCGAAAAAAATCTCAAAAACTGTAAAACTTTTGCGCTGCCACGTTAGGTCCGGTCGACCGGAGATAGAGTAACTATACTCTACCGTTCAACCGCCTTATACTAACTGGCTAACTAGAGAGGTCGACCGGTGTCTGTGCGAGAATAACCCAGATTTTCTGAACTTTTCAGATTTTTGACAATTTTGAAAAATTGTCACCAAAATCTGAAAAATCAGAAATCAAAATAGTTTTTCAATTTATTCAAAACACAAAACGATTTTATAAACCATGAAAATTAGAAACGTTTACCTCCTTCATCTTCAAGATCCGTGATAAATCTCCTCTAAGAATTTTACCTAAAAATTCATGTGCCGTTTTTCGGTTTACAAAATTCCTACGAAAGAAAATAAAATAAACCTAATGACGATAATAGACCGTACATCTAATTATCTAGCCAGGAACAAATTGCTATACAACCATTCTAAACTCTAAGAAACCATAACAGGCAAAAAATTAAATAATAAAAAAACACTGATAATTTACAAAAAATAATCAATAATAATTATTTAATCATTCATTCACCATATATTCATGATAACAAAAAAATATATAGAAACTCTAGAGTGCCAACTCTCTAAAATATCAATTCAAGCATAAAAGAGATATTTTTTAGATCAAAAATCTATGTACATAGCATAGTCATGATCAAATAACCATGGCTCTGATACCAATTGATGGAAAATAAGGCATCGAGTGTTCAACGGAATTTTAAAAAATTTAAATCAATGCCAAAGCCAACCAAGAACACGTTCATGATGCTACATAACATAAATACTAAAGATCTAAATCATACATTTAGAGATTTAGAAAACAACCCGTCTAACAGATCAAAGTGTTCTAAACAACTACCGGAAGAGCCTCAACAAACTAGTTTTCTTTTGCTATTCTTGTTTCCATGATCGGAGTGTGGGTGGGCACACGTCCTTCAACTCCCCTTGCTATTCTTGAACTCCTTCCCACCACAAGAGAGCCAAAGGAAAAATTGTTCTTGAGAATTAAATAATTTTTCCTCTCAGGAATCTTTTGCCAATAGCCCCCAAAATGTCTCTCAAGTGGTCTAATGAATAATGTAACTTATTGGGCTATTTATAGTGTTTAAGAAGTCATATACCCGTAACAATTAAGTCTCCTAAAGTTTATCTCGCTTATAGAGTAAGTTTTTCCATGTCAACATGCGCTATGCGTTACAACCAATCGACCGGTGACAGGGACGTTATAACTCACTAGTCGACCTATCTTTCATGAACCGATTGACCGGTCCAGTCGACCTGTCTGAACATGAGATAATTGTTTTTCTAGTTTTTCAACATGGAAAACTTGCACAGAGCCTCAGTTTTAATTCAAGCAGCCCAATAGGGAAGTTACCTGATCAAAACAGTCATATAATAGTCTTTCCATATTAAATAACTCTCAAAACAATAATTCCACCAATTTTTCTAGAATTAATTTAACAATTAATCCACCTAATAAATTACTCATGAGTTAAACAACTCGAAACATTAATTCAACCAATTTATCTAGAATTAATTTGTCAATTAATTCACCCAATAAATTACTCATGAATTAAACAACTTGAAAAGTTGATTCAACCAATTTATCTAGAATAAATTTATCAATTAATTCACCTGATAAATCACTCATAAATTAATTAACGAATCTCATATTAACTTTGAACCTCTTTTACAGAAATAACACAAGTTACCAATATGTAGTAAATACACCGTATCGTTATAGGAAAATATGTGAGCTAGCAAAGGGACCCGATGGACATATATAAATCAAGCTCTTATAATCACAATGCTACTTGTAAACCAACAAGTCCATCTTATGATTATAAAACTCTGGCACTAGTCCACTAAAAGCATAGAGTTGCACTCTCGATTTATATAGCACATTTACAAAGCTCTAAATAGCACTCGTCCATGACTCAATATATTAGTGTATCATCCCCATAGGATATCCAAATCAACTTAAGGTCAAGGTCCGTTTTACCTTCCCGGTTATATTTATCTTATGTTTCATTACCACTCCATCAGAAAACCACAATTTGTACCATTATAAAAAGTAAACCATTAGATAACACAGAGTAGTCTAATGGTCGAGCACTCATATTTTCTAAGCCACGGATAATGCATAAGACGATATTATTGACTCTTTATAGGAGCTATGGGTTCCACTATTTATCAATAACGAATCTACGCTTACATGAGTCATACCCTCAATGTACCGGTAAGCGTACCTTTACATAATAGCAAGATGTCCCCTTTTGGTACATCAAAGGATACAAGTCAAGCATGCGGGTTCATTATCCATCTCAGGATTATGATGACTGCTGGTAACCGAATCGAATTCGGATGCGGAAGCGTGGTGCGAAAGGGCGGATCAAGTATAACAAAAATTTTCACAAACTTTTAACATACTTTATAGATTATATTAATTTATGCACGACTAAATTAATCACATTAATTTATACATCAACAACTCAATTAGAAAAAACACCTGGAGGCCGACTCGAATGATAACTTGAGTTCTTTGACCACGAACGATCCTTACTCTAAAGCCTTGTGTTTAGAAAACCAAAGTCTTCCATGTCAATTACTTGAATCTACGTACACGTGTATGTGGGCACACTCAAGACTAAAACAGGTTTGATTAAACACTCGAATTTTCCACAAACACCAACGCATGCACGATGTGGAATTTTTTTGGAGAAAAAATTTTCCTTTCTCTCTATAATGTAATTTTTGGCCAGCCCGAAAAATTAGGTTAAAAAATTGTCACGCGCAATTTTTCATCATCTCTTATTTATAGAGTAGAAGTCCAACTTCTGGAAGGAATCAAATCTCTCTCTCCTGTTTGAATTTTGAACAAAAATTCTCCTCTTCCTTATCTCTGTGTGGCCGGCCACCCTATGGTTTCCTATCCATGTGTGTGGCGCCAATTGCACGTAGGGAAGGAAGAGAAAATCATCATTTATCCTGTAGTCCAATTTCAATTCAAATTCGAATTTAAGTCAAACTTAAATTAATTTGAATTCTAAATTGAACAACTTATCAAATAAGTTTAAAAGGATAAATTTAAATTATGTTCATGATTTAAATTTAAATAATCACATTATTTAAATAATAATTAATTCTCAATTAATTATTTTCTGAGTATTTAATTTTAGAATTCCATAATTCTAAAATTTCCATTTTGTCCTTTGTGTCTGGTAGAATTACAAGGACGTCGCGGAGACTAATGTACCTATAATCCTGAGCTCTAATAAAATTAATAATTAATTAACATTCTAATTAAATAATTAATTCTATTAATTCCAATTGTTACTCTACTATAAACTTGGAATTGAACTCTCGAAATTATAGACATTAATTACTTCTAAACTATGAAGTGTCCATTTGATATAGTCATTGCATATAGATCAATCCTCCATAAATAATTCACAATTAGAGTCAGGTAGAATCCGTTAACCTCTCTAATTATATCTTCATCCTTGAGTACCATTGATTTTCTAATGGATAGTGATTCATAAAACACATTCATGAACCAGAGTGCTCTTACTAATCCAAGTACTGAATCAACACTCAAGAGAATTATTTATCTACTTCTTTCTCAAGAAGGAATGGATTCCATCTCGTATAATAACATTCCCGGCTACCTATTTCGTCATGTCTCCAAAATACAAGGAATAGGATTCAGGGTCTCAGAATTCATACCGAGTAAATCAAAAGACACAAATCAATAAATAGGAGTTTGTTAAGAACTCAGGATTAAGATCATTCTATATATGGCCATCGGTAGACTTAATTAGAATTTCTATGCTTAATGGAAATTATTAGAAATTCATATTGTGTCTGTGTTCCTGTTCCACACAATCTCATTATGCGAAATACACTCATTCAATATCTCACCATATTAACAGTGCGGATAGCACCGTTCTATTCTAAATGGGAATGCATGTATTAATAATGTTTTAATTAAAGATTCTGAACTTTAATTAAATTCATTATGAACAACGTTTTTTATTATTATCCTTAAACATTATCCTCTCCTATATAACATTTATATACAATGTTTAAGGTTACATAAATAATCAC